AATAAGGAAACACATTCAACTATTCAAATCATGTCCAAGTAACACAATGAAAGTTACACAATGGAAAGACTTTGACTTCTGCAAAACAGAGTCCAAAATGAAAGATCAAAGTGAAAAACAAACAGAGTCCATCTCTGTCCCTCTTCATCCATCAGACTACGACAACAATACAAGTGCAGCTGACAATACAAGGATGCGTAGCCACTTCAAAGCATTCCGTCAAACCAAAATACCCCAAGAGATAGTTAGAAAACCTTGCCGGTTTGTCAGTCAGGGGTCCCGTAATGATTTCGATTGATATCCGCTATTCAAAAAACTATTGATTGATTCGTCATCCGCTTGGTCAGCTGTGGAGCTATTGTCCCACTTGTTGTTGTTGTTACTTGATTGTATTTGTTTATATTTGTAATAACTAAGAACATGTTTTCTGGCATGTTTGCATCCTTGCTTCATCAGCCACATTTCATTTTTGTTTTGGTCCATCTAGACATCGTCTGCTGAAAGTCAGAAAAACATGAACTCATCATTTTGATCAGAGATAAAGCCTACTGGGTCTCAGCAGATGATTTCATAGTCACCTCCTAACCTGTCACATACTCAAAATGTTATTGCTATATTCCTATCTAAATGTATAGTTTATCATTTCTACTTCTGATTTCTTCCCCATCTCTCTCTCTCTCTCTCTCTCTTTCTCTTTCTCACTTTCTTTTTTTTCTTTTGTTTTGTTTCTATTCTCTAAATCTATCTATCTATCTATATATCTCTATCTATCTATATATCTCTATCTATCTATATATCTCTATCTTTCTCTCTTTCTGCCCCCTCCCCCCTTGTCTCTCTCTCTCCCTTTCTCCGGCTACCTCTGTAATTTCTCTTTTCTTCTTGAAACATATCTTTCAACAATTTTGTGATGTAAAGTCTGGCACAAGTGGTTTTCTCAACAAATCAGAAATGCTGTAAATATTCATTTTCTAATTTTGTTTTCCAAAGAGAAAATTAACAATCTACTGTTTCTATCTGCCTGCAAAAAGGAAGGCTATATCATGGAAGTACACCATAAGTATTGCATTGATGAGGTTATTATGATTTTAGAGGTCTAACTAATCTATTTCTCCACTTTGAAAGCTGACACTCTTCTTCTCCCTAAGTTAACAGTTTCATTACCTTTGCATGTTATCTAACTTGTTTAAAATGGCGCTGATAAAGGTGACAAGTTAACAATGGACCTATCAATGCTTACAGACCTCCTGCACGCCAACTATCCATGTCAGAATCAAAAAGAAATAGGAAAGGTATGCTCAAAAATTGACAGAACATAAACAAGAAGTGACAACACTTTTCGAAACTTTGTCAATTCGGCGCAGCCGTCTTTTCTTCTCAGTGACATAATCCAGATCTAATCCCACCGGTCGATTCTATCCTAAACACCTCTCAGGGCCGTACAGCCATGCACCCTGTGGAGATGGCATTTCCCTATTCTTAATGTTCGCCCAGTCTTTCATTATTTATTGATTAGGCCGGATCAATAAGATAAATCTTTGATCAGTCAAAGGCCTACATTGAGGACTCCCAATGAAATCATTAGCTGGAAGAAGGGTGAGAGCCTTTGAGGCTGTTGAAGTGGACGGGCGCAACGGGTGGGTGCATGCATGCAGGGGAAATGTTACAAAGACATCATCCTGTTACAAGGATGAACAGTGTATGTACTCTTTGAATGCTTGTTTGCTTGTGCTTTTAAAGTTCTTACACAATTTCATGATTATAGAACAGCGAAAAATGAAAAAGTCTCTCATGCACATTCTTTACACAATTTTGAACTTTAAAGGAGTTGATATGCATGAAGCCGACATGATACTAATTTTTGTACTGAAGCGCAAGAGATACTTGGTAATTTTTTCATAGATCTACCTAGATCAAATAAGTCAACTGTACACTTGCCATGCTAATGATTAAACAGCAACAAAAATTGAAGACTGAATGACACAAATCTCAAATAAGCATAATTTATGAGAGTGAAAATAAATTTCTACACTCAAAACTGAATATTGTTGCATTCTTCAGCATTTTGTAATCTCCAGATTTCAGGGAACATTTCATGAAAAAAATTCTTCACAAGTTAGATAATCATATAAAAAGTACTCAATCTCCTTTTTTCTTCTTACTTCCAAAACTGAAAAATACACCTTTCTACGGATTGAAATGCAGTGATAACAATTACCAGGCAATAAGCAATTATACGTAATCTGCACTAAAATGGACAAAATCCTTTTCAAAGCATTCTTCTTGAAATAAGTGATCCTTACAGGTGATCAAAATCAGCTCAAACTAGCTCACTTTCTTGTAAGTATTTATAAGAGTGTGTTTTTTATTCTGGGTGAGAGATACTCGCCAAATTAGCAGAGTCTTGTTACGGATGAACAGTGCGGAGAATAATAACAAACCACCAACCAAAAGGCAGAAATGGGGCACTTGCTGCGATCTTTATAATGGCCCATTCTTGCAGGACAGGGTGAATAGCGAAATCACCGTGTCTGGGAAGCAACAAAAGAAATTGCAAACTATTTCGGGCTCCTGAACCTTCGTGATGAATGGACCTCTCAATGGGGGCTTCCTGTCTACTTCAAAAGCAGGTATTTGAATCAAAATGCGATGAATACAATTCTTTTTACTCATTCTATTCCATCCACACCACAACGCTCTTTGCATTTGACTTGAACGAGTTCACAATTCCTTCACTATATTATCAAATTGTGTGCTCTTTTGTACAAGAGCCTTCCACCATTATTGAATTAAAATCGACTACCGTAAATTTTGCTAATAAAAGATCCCTGTTAAGAAAAAATTCAACCAAGAGCAATGAATACAACTCTTTCTTCTCCAACAATTCTTTCTACTTCTCCTCCTATCTCCCAGACCCTCTTTGGCTCTTGACTTCAATCATTTCACAAATCTTCCACTGTATCATCAAATCATTGCATTTGTTAACCTTCCACCATCATCAAACTGACATCAACTAAATCTTGCTAATAAAATGATTAGCCCGAATGAAATAAACCCATATGGTGATATGCTGAAAAGTTTAAAAAAGGTGTCTTCATTTATGACTTCTTTGAAACCACAATTTTGACAAATAAAATGGTACAAGCATATGGCTCTGCATGTGTTTTCAATTGGCCACTTAGTCCTATTAACTATCGAGGCTCTAATCTAAGTTCATTTCCATAATATATAGTGTTCAAGGCAGCGCAATAAATGCTTACAGGAATACTAAGCCCAATTCAACTCCATAACTCCTGTTTGGCTTACACTGAGCAAGCAAGCTGTAATGCGAAACTCCCCTAGAAGCCTAGTGGAAACAACTTATAAAGAGGTCATACACCTTCCAAATCCAAGGCATAAAAACCCTGTTATTTGACCCGCTAATTAATACCACATTTCTAGATTTGGTGGAAAGCCAATTACACCCAAACTTGGACTGACCCTCGGGCTCTGTGTACATTCTGTCGGAAATATTCGAATTCAATGCTTGACGAGCGGCACGTTCTGCTCACTGTTACAAATTTTCGGGGGCAGCTTGAGAGAAAGAGGACAAAACTGCCACGATGGGATTAGGAAGCAAATACAAACATGGATACTAGCATTAGCCCCATGCTGAGTTACCATTCACGAAATGTCTGGAAAACTTGTGTATTATTTCTTTTGAATGAAACATAGAATACAAAATTTAAAAATTCCTCTAATTTCAAAATTTGCTTCACGGTGGCCTTCCTAATGTCCATATAAAGATGGGTATTAATATTCCGACGAATAGCCCATGACGGAATATCTTTTTTCAGAATATCTTTTATTGAGAGAAAGGAATGGAATACAAGTAACATGTAGCTTAAAAGGGGGTTATTGAAAGGTCATTCCTACTTTCAAGAAAGAGTGCAATGTGATTCTTCATGGACAGTCTAAATAACTGAAAGATATTGTACTTGGTACTTCATTCGATCTAAATTTGAATTTTGTCGGCATTTCTTCTACCCATAACTCAGTATCCTGAACTTTTCAATTTCTATCCTTCCTCTCCATCTCCATCTCCATCTCCATCTACCTCACCCATCTGTCTCTCAACCTCCTTCTCTCTGTCGTCATTTTCCTTTTTGCTCCCCTCTTTCATCTTCAACTAAAGACCAAAAATCCCTCTTTATTTGTCCATCTCAGGCACCACTGAATTCTATGAGCTCTTTCTCTGTTTCTAAATCAAAGTATAATACAGTTTCAACCTCCCTCTCTCCTACTACTTCATCAACCCCTATCTCGCCATCTTTCCATCTCAGTCTTTCCCTCCCTCTCCTTCATCTTCCATCGAAGCCCGAACGAACATCCCTGCTTATTTGTGCATCACAGGCACCGCTGCTGTGACAGACTCTGCCATCAAACCTAACCCCAACATGAACTCCTGGAAATAACTTGCCAACCCAATAAATCAATTCCACACTAATCCTACCAAACAAGCATTCTGAGCCCATCTCCGTGCTCTAAGCCTACGCGTTGTAGAAGAGCGTTGACAATCGTATTCTATCAAGGCTTAGTTCATTTTATTTGCCCTTCCATGAGAGGCAGCGATGCAATCAAGCGGGACAGTACAGATTATGTTGCCAACATCCAGCTAATCTAACATCTTCACAAAAAATTGGGGGTACACAAATAAATTTGGGGTATTCTTGCAAAAATAGTGATGTATGGTAAACTAAATTATGCCTGAAAGATGACAGACAAGCACTATAATATACAATAAATTTAAATAAAATCCATTGTGACATTCAAGGTACTATGGGATTAGGTACAACTGACTGATTAACTGCTCAGCATTCAATTTCGAACAATGTTTGAATTCCTAACTACATCTGTGGATCAAGCATCATTCCTACCCTAACCCCTCTGTATGTACAAGATATACTCCTGTTCCAATTCTCAGCATCGTATACGATGACTAATCAACACATTTGTCTCACCTGTGCGTTCATCGATGGTGAAGTACTTCTTTGCTGAGTTTGTCTTGAGCCTGTACGTTAGGTTCCCGCTAGACGATGTATCGGGATCTACCGCTTCCACAGTCAGCACGTACACACCCATAGGGCTATTCTCCGGCACCTCGGCCCTGAAGACCGGCTGCGTTGGGAGAGGGGCATTGTCATTGATGTCCAGGACCTCGATAAAGACCTGGACGACGGAGTGGAGTGGTATGGCACCGTGGTCTTGGGCGTAGATTGTCAGCCAGTAGTGTGGGGTGCTCTCTCTGTCCAGCTCCTCGGTGGTACGAATCACACCTGTGAGAAGTAAAGGAATAACATGAGAAGAATGAATGAATGGACATGGAAATGATGAATACTGTCCTGATTAACAACATATTGCAATTCCATTTTTATGAAGTTATAGAAACTTGTTATAGAAACATGTTTGTAAAATGTTCAAATGATATAATGAAACACAAGAAGAATGAATGGACATGGAAATAAGGAATACTGTCCTGATAAACTATATATTACACTTCCATTTTCATGAAGTTATAGAAACTTGTATGTAAAATGTTCAAACGATATAATGTGACAATTTATTCATGCAACCCAGTCAAATGCTGGGAACGCAAGAATATTTGATATTTAAAGATAAGCAACAAGGGGGACTGATTGGTATACATCCTATCTGAGGTACTCAGTAATTGAGGACTTATACCATTTCAAAGGGGACTAACACAAGGATTTGTTTCAACGCAGGAACTCTCAATTACAAGATCAATACTCAACCGCCGAACTAGAGTACCAATATTAATTACCCTATAATCACAAATACAAAGTAAATGTGATATAATGATCTGATAATTCCCTACACTTCTCTGACAGAGATCACAGGAAATTATTTATCATTAAACACATTTTCATTCATACAAGCCTCCAATCTAATACAGCAGTCGACAAACACGGGTATAAGCACACCCCAATCGTTAGAGGCAAGAGATATAAATCTCATTACTATTCATTCATCATTTATGTAAGATCAAAATCAGAGGCTTATAATTCCTAGGTAAACCAGCATATTCAAGCATTGGAGATTGCCCCAAAGCAACTGAACGCAAGAAAAAAAATAGGAGTTATTTCTGGTTGATAAAGTGTAGACGAGGAAAATACACCTTCTTAATTTCTTTTCAGTGGTTTAGAATAAGATATTATTTTTTAAACAAATACTAAACAATATATACCGGTAGTACTATTCCATTTTCTTATCAATTCCATGACAATTTGGATGACCTTTTGATTGTTGGATTCTTGCAAAACTGTTTCAGACATATAAAAATAAAATACAATTTATAGTTTGCTTCAAGTTTAATGTGTTTACCTATCCCAATTTTGACATTCCCTTAAACCTATAAATAAAATCTATCAAAATTAAAAACAGTTTGAACCCTGTCCACATGAACTACATGCACTAAATACAATTCTTGTATTCATCTTTTTGGAATTAATAAACATTCTAATACCAATAATTCTTTGGTAAAGATTAAATTAAAGCCATAGCCACAAGGAGCAATAATGGCTATTGTTTGTTCGGACTGCTAGCAGGTAGCGACCTCAAGCATAGCATTGTGGGTTTGGACTCGAGGTCATTTTTAGGTCAGGTGCATGGACAAGAATCAACCAAACAGACTTCTCCTCAAACAATTGTAAAAATTCCTGGTATAAAATTTGAAGAGTTTAATAGCGCTTTATTTCCAGTCCTCTTTATTTTTTAGGGTTGAGATTTAGGGGTGAATGAGTCACATGGGAATACCGCAATTCACATTTCTGAGATTAGTTTCTTTTTACTGCAAAAAATTAAAAATATGGCTTAACCATTTATCTTCTGTCTTTGACAAATAGTTCACAGGTTCTGTTTCAAAATATGCACTTCTATGCAAATTGTTGTCATGTTTGTCATTGTTGAAAGGAAGGGGGAAAAAAAAGAATGAACTAGTTATAGGCACTTTTAATGTAGAATTTACATACATTTTATTGTGATAAAATCTACCTCATAGAAAAGTACACAAAACTTGTTTGCAAGCAATTTACATCTAGATGATCATTAGTTTCGACTGTATCTCCTTTCTGTACAAAATATACAGAAAGTGATATAGAATATCATATCAGCATACTTCTGATTGATGCTGAATTAATCATATTCTCACTCAATTAATCCTCCATACCAACAGAGGAATTTAACTTCCTTGATAATACCCTATTGCTCTTCAGCGCGGGACGATTAATTAATGGAATTCCGAAGGTACGGGTCCAGCTAAGGTCAACGTACTGGGGTCGCTTTTATTCACAGTTACAATAGAGTCTGGACATGGCTTCAGATACAGGGATGGGAGACTGATACATCAGCTAGGTCAATTATACCATGAACTTGATCTAGTGTCATTCACAATGTAACAAAAAAGCTGCCCTTTCACACGAGTGAAAAAAATTGTATATAGAAACATATGAAGAGATAAATATCGATGACCATATGGCAAATGGGGTGTACACACAGGAGGGATCTATGAGGATACAAAAAAAAAAACTTGTTGGGAAGTATACATGTACAGCCATTTACCAAGGTATAAATGTTCTAGTGTGTTTAAATATTTGTATGTACTACTCATTGAAAAATCTGATGGGCCCTTTTTCATTTATTTGAATCTATATAAATTTTTGGAGGCATATCACCCTGGGCCTACTATTTTTTTTCACTGATGTGTAATAATTCTCATGTGCATTACCCAAGTAAACCGTGATTCTTTATTATAATATCACATAAAAGATTGCTTAAACCTCCATTTTACTATAACGCGTTCACACAAACAAATTATTGAAATGTATTGTAATGTATAGCTTTCCATGAGGGAGCATGGAGTCAGTTCAACATTGATTCTTCATCAAATCTTCATGTTATTAAAGGAAGTTCCCATGCTAGGTGCATAATTACTACTAATTACTGTACATATAATCGTATGAAACATTTAATTTCCAATGTCTGAACGTGAAGGTATAGGTTAATGATACAATGAACTTGATATCCTACCATTCATGATAACAGACTAGGGATCTTTGCACCCGCAATGGTATAGCAATCAATGGATGTAGTCTCTACCGCTCAGACAGTGGGGTCCCTATCTTCCGCTAATGAACGTTGCAGACAATTTTTTTCATGAGCAATTAATTTCACTCAGGCTTGGTGTCGGAATGCATTATAGCTTGCATCCTCATATTTATGTATAATTTCTCTCAAGGCTCTACAGCCGCCAAGTCTAATGCCGTATATCATATTCAATCTCATGCTCTAGAGAAATTATTATTTATGAAAATTACAGATCAACACGATAAAAGCAAACTCACATAGGGAGCTTTTTCATCGGCATGCTTTGATAGATAAATGGTTCAATTCATTCTTTCCTTTTTTTTCTCAACATATTAAACTACCTTTACACAAAATCTTAAATGAGCATATAATTCTTTTCTCTTCCCCGCATCCATGTGACTCTTTTCCAAAAGTACTCTTTCTTGTATTCAATGATTTTCTTTTTTTTCTCCAAATAAATGATAATAATATTAAAATAGAGCTCAATACAAACTGGGGTGGGGCATATATAGACTTCCAAATTTTAACCCTGACCTAAAATAAAATCCATGGGTCCCTTGCAAATTTTTATCTTGACCCTTGTATATGCTGTAAAAAATGTAAAGAAAAAAACTAATGTGGAGCCCTGAATTGTTAGACATATCTGATCTTCCATGAAGACAACACATGAATATTGAAACAACTTCTACATTTACCTGCGACACCAGGTCTATCTGTCAGAGACTATCTAAACCTATTCGTGCATAGGGGCTTGTAATTACAGCTAGAGGGATTAGGCTTTGCCCAAGGATACGTTGGCCTGATATTGGATTTCCCCAGTGATCTTGTTAGATAGATACCTTGGGTGATGAGATGAATAAATGTTCAGAAAATTACCCAACAGACGGTGAAATATGATCGCCATTATGTTGAATGTATGTATACGGGCAGTTGTGCTGTTATTACTGACGTGCACATCGCAGCTTCGTATGATTTTTGAAGCTGTGTCTCTGATCCTTTTCTCAATCCGACTAGATTGGTGGATGGGTAGGTCTCATTATTTATTTAATGTCACCTTTGTGGGCTGCATCATTTGACTCTTGATTATGAAATTCACTAAATAATTAAAGATAGAAAGTTTCTATATGATTCCAAGTCATATATGAAGGTTAATATCTCTTCTCACCCGAATTCCAATGAATTTTTATGGTATTGCCAAAGCAAGTTGATGTTAGATAATCAAACTAAATAAGAAACTTGATTATCTGATGATATCAGTTTTAATACTACATTAATGTGGAGTTACTTAGGGATTGGTCTTTGAGCAAAAATGTTGAAGATATTTGTCTAAACTACTGAATTTCCATGCTACAAGCCATACAATCCAACAACAAATTCATAAACAATGATGGCCACATTTTGTCCTTGGTTCTGTAATCTAGGAAGCCTAAAGAATGTCCAATCCAACTCTAAACCATGAATGTTGAACAATTCGTCCCTATTTTCACGAAGTGACGGTAGTGAGGAAAATCGTAACGCAAAGTGAATGCAATTTTTTTTCACTACCGTCACTTCGTGAAAACAGCGACGAATTATATGTCTTTGCCTAACAATTAAACCATTTATGACCATGGTACAAGTGCTGTATAGTGATATACATGTCGGCTTGAAATCAAAAGAACACATGTGATGGTTACTTCCTTCAAGGATGCCTTCCATAAAGGACCATCTTTACCTGATGACCTGGTTTGACCTGCGATAGGAATTGGTCTGGCTGGATGAGTGAATCATAGAGGTAGGGGCAATACCCTCTCCTCCCATCTTAGCCTGGCTTCCAGACTGGTTCTCTCACACATGGTTCGGTGACAAATGCTCTGTGGTCAAAATCATACACTGACCAAATTTCTAAATTCAACCTTGGACCAAACACTACACCTAACCTAAACCCTGAGGTAACCCTAACCCTACATCATTGCTGAAATAAAGCACACAGAATTGTCACAAGAGCAAGGTGTTACTGTTAGGTCACCTCCAGGTCAAAAGGTCCTTCTCTCTTTAAAACGAAAGTAGGCCTCATCATATCTGACATATGTATCACCAAGTCTTGAACAAT